TAGGGCGGCCGTGGCAATTCGACACCGGAGCAATGTATGATGGACGCCTAAATACCTATGCCTTCGAATGGAAGAATCGTAAGATACGACTATTACCACATGCCCCCACTGATAGTACTCAAAAGTTGTTGGGTCAAGCAGCAATGTACATGGTATCCGGACCAAGCATCACTGAATCATGGAAGGAAGGAACCAATATGCTGGCATTAATTGTATCCGCGTCCAGTTCAGTTGACAAGCTCCGAACACTTCCTGTTGATGCACAGAAGTTGTTGCATCAATATGAAGACATCTGACCCGAGGAATTGCCAAACCAGTTGCCCCCTCTTCGCAATTTGCAGCATCAAATTGAACTACAACCGGGATCCACACTTCCTAACATGCCGCATTACAGGATGAGCCCGCGAGAGCACGGAATACTACAAGGCATTGTAGATGAGCTATTGCAGAAAAATCTGATTTAACCAAGCTTGAGTCCGTGCGCTGTCCCTGCGTTACTGGTGCCGAAGAAGGACGGAAGTTGGCGCATGTGCGTCGATAGTCGGGCAATCAATAAAATCACCGTGAAATATAGATTTCCGATGCCACGCCTAGAGGACATGCTGGACAAGCTCACCGGGGCAGCTGTTTTCTCGAAACTTGATCTGCGAAGCGGCTACCATCAGATACGACTCCGTACCGAAGATGAATGGAAGACGGCGTTTAAGACGCGCCATGGACTATACGAATGGCGTGTAATGTCGTTCGGGTTATGCAACGCTCCTGCTACATTCATGAGGCTCATGAATGAAATCCTGAAACCAGTGCTCGGGAAATGTTGTGTCGTTTACTTCGATGACATCCTCGTCTACAGCTCTACACCTGAAACTCACTTGATCCACTTGATGGCTATTTTTGATATATTACGAGCTAACAAACTGTATTTGAATTTTTCCAGGTGTGAAATTGCAATAGAATCAGTCCATTTCCTTGGGTTCATCGTCTCCGGCAACGGAATTCATATGGACCCACAGAAGATCACATCTATCACGGACTGACCAACCCCCAAAACGATCTCAGACGTGCGCAGTTTCATCGGTTTAGCGAATTTCTATCGCCGATTCGTGCGTGGATTCAGTATTCTGATCGCACCGCTCACGGATTGCCTTAAGAGCAAGGCATTGCAATGGAAGCAGGAACAACAAACAAGCTTCGACAACATCAAAGTTGCATTAACTACCGCTCCAGTATTAGCCGTTCCTGACTTCAACAAACCCTTTAGTGTCGATACTGATGCTTCGGCCATCGGCGTCGGTGCAGTACTATCACAAGAAGACCGACCACTCAAATTTTTCAGCGAAAAGCTCAGTCCAGCAAGGCAGAATTGTTCCGCATACGAGCAAGAGTTATATGCTGTCGTCCGAGCTCTGAAGCAGTGGGAACACTACCTAATCCATCAGGACTTTGTGTTGAGCAGCGACAATCACGCATTGCAATTTATTAACAGTCAGAAGACAATTAACAGGATGCACGCAAGATGGGTGACCTTCTTGCAATGATTTAGTTTCGTCTTTAAACATAAATCTGGTACACAGAACAGGGTCGCCGACGCCCTCAGCAAACGATCCACATTGATCACTAAGCTCCAAACTGATCTACAAGGCCTTCAATATCTCACGGAACTGTATGCGTCGGACACTGATTTTTCGGAAGCCTGGGCAGCGCTTTCGCAGAGCACCAAGTCCGCATTCCATGATTTTTCGCTGCGGCACAATTATCTGTTCAAAGGAAATCTGCTCTGCATACCACAATCCTCGTGGAGGGAACACCTAATTAAAGAAGTTCACAGCGGCGGACTAGCTGCTCACGCCGGAAGAGCTAAGGTCTTGGAGCAGATGCAGAGCCGATTTTATTGGCCACACTTACGCCACGATGTAATTAAATTCGTGGAACGATGCCCAGTTTGCCAATTATACAAAGGCAATGCCCAGACACCGGCTTGTATATGCCGTTACCTATACCAAATTCAATTTGGGAAGACTTAAGCATGGATTTCATACTGGGATTGCCAAGAACAAGAAGGGGAGCTGATTCGATAATGGTGGTTGTCGATAGATTCTCCAAAATGGCGCACTTCCTCGCTTGTAAGAAGACTTACGATGCATTGAATGTCGCCATCCTTTTCTTCAAAGAAATTGTCCGCCTCCATGGATTGCCTCGGAGCATCACATCCGACAGGGATGTACAGTTCGTGAGCCATTTCTGGCGAGAACTTTGGAAACGATTGCAGACTGAGATCAAATTGAGCTCGGCATATCATCCTCAAACAGACGGACAAACGAAGGTCATCAATCGGTCTTTGGGCAGCATGTTGAGGTGCATCGCTCACAAACATCTAAGCAGTGGGACGACTACTTGGGACAGGCTGAATTTGCCTATAATTCTATGCACAATCGATCAACCGGTCAATGTCCCTTTAGCATTGTTTATACAAAAACTCCTAATCATGTTGTAGATATTGTTGTTTTGCCTAAGTGCAGGAGCAAGGCAGCAGCAGATACTACCGAGCAATACACTAAAATGTTAGGTGATGTGAGGGCCAAATTGTCTGCTTCAAATGCAGAGTATAAGCAGCAGGCGGATAAGCGCCGGAGGGAGAAAATCTTCAAACCTGGTGAGCTGGTCATGGTCCGTCTGCGCAAGAAGCGGTTCCAACTCGGAACTTATTCAAAATTAAGCCCACGACGAATTGGTCTAGTACCTATCATTTAGCGTATCAATGATAACGCCTACATCATCGACTTACCACCAGGATTCCTCACGCCAGCTACATTCAATGTTGCTGATATTATAGCTTACAAATCCGCGGATACCAGAATCGCTCAAACTAATTCCTCAGGCGAGGAATCTCTTACAGAGGGGGAGATCTGATGTGACTCATCCTAGTCCAAGAGGCCATTATTCCTGCTCCTTAACGGATACCGCAATTCCCACTTAGTTTTTACCTTTCTGTTTTCTTTGCAGCTTTTTGTCAGGAGCACTTTCCTAGTCAGCATTTTCTTCCTAGTATAGATAGAGAAGCAAAGGCATTAGGAGCTTTTTAGTTTTTGCTGAATACAAAATTCCGGAAAGGATATCTCCTCCCTGTTTTTCTCCTACCTCCTTCTGAGTTCTGTTCTCACCTGATTTATGTTCTCTTCTTTCCTTTCTATTCTCTGTTTTGGATTTCTATTCTGTTTTCTGCAGGTTTTCACACCAATATGTCACTAAAAGCTACTATCAATTGTTTCAAACATTACGCCTTGTAGATTGGCAATATTTGCACAAAAATTAAGAAAGTATGCCAATGCTTACTAATAGCACATTTTAGCTAAAAAGGATTAATAAATTTATGTTCAAGGTTACCATGTTGTGTCATTGTAAAGGCTCTTCCATTCATGCAACAAATAAAACAACAATCAAAATGAAGGAAGCCCAAATACAGAAGAAAATATGAAGACTAAAACCAATCAGAAGAAAAAAAAGTGTTATATTAGTTGTCATATATTTATTACACCAATTTAATTCTTTTTATATAGAGCAATATGTCATCAGACCAGTATGAAAACTTAGGTTTTCATCTACTCCTTGAACAATATAGTACAAAGCTGAGGGGGTTTATCTATTGATATTGGCAACACATTCCATTCTATTTTCCATGCTCTAAAATCTGGCATTATGGCAATACCCTGCAGGCTTTCTCCACTACTATTCCACTACTTCATGAATTGTTCTATATGTGCATAAGCCCTTATGCATTCCAAAAATTTCAAAAAAGTCCTCAGCAATGCTCACTTTGATGACTTATTCCTACTTTACAAAAAACAAAGTTTGGTGGAATAGAGCTTATTCATGTGAGTTCAGCTCATCTTACAAGCAATAGCAGAAGGATTTACATTGTTACACCAACAAAAACACAGCTATTTCATGCTAGAACTAAACTAGGACTATTATTCCATGTACTACCACCACCATCCCTCATCCTCCTCCTCATCATCATCATCATATTCTATTGGGATCATTATGTCATTATCATTATCATTAGCCTTATCCAGATATTTCAACTTGAAGTTATTAATCCTCGATATAATTTGTAAATATTAAGTATTGCATGTGACTTTAAATCTATTATGAACAAATCTTTTTAAGCAACATCTATCCATGCTATTTTAGGTTACGCTTTTCCGACTTAATCATTCAACAACAACTTTATCTACTCATTTAATGATACACACTCTACCCTCATGGCCTCATTTTACAAGTCTAATCCACCAAATTTTATTATTAAATAACTTCTCTTCATTAAATACTACTATCATCATACTCTCATCACCATCTTATATAAAAATCCGTCAATTCATCCCTTGTCAACTTTTTCGCATCCACACTTAACTTGGTTATCAAAGCCTCTCTTTTTTCCACCCAACAATCAAATATATACAACATAGCACACTTATTTGCAATTTCATAAAATTTATTTCTAAGTCTTCATGATATTGTCTTATCTCATAATATTTGTAAGGCGCCTTTTGATTTTAACTACCTAATTTTAATTTTAGAATTTATATCATCAACCATATCCATATTCTTACGTAAAATAAACCTAAAATACTTGAACCTATTACAACATCACTAAGGCATGAGCCATAATGTCAAATCAGATATATTTCTGTAACAAATGTATTGCATAAAAAATATTAGATGCACATAACAATCTAATGCTATACACAGCAGAATATATATCTATAGACACATCAATATAACTTTCATAATCAGAAACACAACTTTTAAAAGAAGAACATTTTTCTTCCATACAACTATAGCTTCTACAACATGGATAAGCCAACATTTAGATACAATGAAATGGTCAAGAAAATCAACAGATCCTAATTCTAAAGTACTAGTATTAAAACCAAGTTACTAATTTAACCTAGATAATCAAAAAAGCTACCAATAGAATGAAATCCATTAGCAAAAAATACCGTCTTAAGGGAGTCCATGGTCGGCGTCTTGGCTGTGTGGATGCAATTGTATTCATCAGGGTTAGCCTCGCCCCATCCATCCAAAACAACAACGGCTACTGTCTTCCCCTTCGGAAGCTTTGGGTGATCCGCCAGTTTCCATGAAAAATCAGAACTACCCATATCCTCAAGTATTCACTACAAAAAACACATCAAAGGCATGAAACTTCGTAACAAAAAACATTAAAAAAAAAAAAAAACATTCATCGAAAACGATCAAATCAATATTTCGCCTCAGCCCTCAATTCAAAAGTCAAATTTTATGGAAAAAAAAAACATTAAAATGGAATCGAATTAGAACAATAAAACGCCGACAGATCGATACCTCACAAAACCTTTAGATTTCTCAGATCCGTGGGAGAAATTTGGAGGCCGAGAAGATTTTTTTATAGAGAAAGATCCTGACTCCGCGAAGAATTCGAGCGATGCGCGGTATATTTTTAAGGGCAGTCAGTTGACGGCCAAACTTGAACCACGTGTCTTTTATTCTCACCCCTATTTTGTATAAACTGCACTTGCCTTCTCTGAAAACTTATGGAGAGAGCGCGATCTTTAATTGAAAAGATGACGTGGAATAAGGACTCAATCTGCTGGCCACGAACTTGGACGGTTGGCATTACATCAGGGTGCAGGCGCATCGAAAAAATTGGACGGCTGTGATCACATAATAGAAAGAAATGGGAAATAAAAGGATCCACAAGCGGTCGGACACAAAAAGACGCGCAAGAGATTTAGACCGTTTGATGAATAACGGTGGGTGCGATTAGAGAAACCCAGAATCCGTGTGCGAGATCCATGGTAAGACTCGGTAGAGGACGTTAATGTGGACTTTCTAAACGGGAGTTCGTCTAGATGAGATGAATTATATATATTTTTTAAGAATATTAGGGACAAAGCTTAATAATTACAATCAAATGGAGGACAAAAAAAATTACAACTCAATGGTAGGATTAATTATTCTGTGCGGATGCTCGTTCGGAAACCAACAACATCTACCATGTCATCGCTGTGCTCGGTACTGCTCGGTAACGCTTGGTACTGCACCTCGGTACCACTGACGCGGTGCATTCTGGTTGATCTCCGGACAGCGTTCTACGTCCGGTCTCCGCACAGAATAATTTCTCCATTGATAGATAGATAGATACATATTCGAACGGAATTGCAACAAAAAGAGCAATGCTAAAAGTAAATAGAACAAAGATTCAAAAACCAACGAATAAGGAAAACAAAAATATAATATCCAAAGATCAAAAGAACTCAAAATTTACAAAATGAACGCACATAGATATCATGAAGCCATCGAAGAATATAGGTTTTCTGGTTGCACGGAGACCATCTTAGAGGAGACATGGCTAGTTGTGAACTAAAATTCATCATTGCCCGCAGTATCATGTATCATAATTCTCACAATAACTACAAGAGTAAGTTGCCTAGACAAGAGGAGATTCTGCTAAAACTTCCAGCCAATAAGGCCCAATAGGCCATTACCCCATAGCATTATCATAAGTTAGATAGCTCAGGGAAGAGAAGGAGACTAAAAAAGATGCGAATGTCAAGAGATAAGATGTTTAATTTTGCCAAACTTTGTCTATTTTGAAGCTTTAAAAAGGAAAATCTTCTTAATATCACTGCACACATTTGAATTGAACCTTCATTTTCTTTTATAGAGATGTTAAGGACAATCATTCAAAATTAAATGAAGGATAAATTATAATATAAGAAAAATAATGAATGTTTCTTTTAAAAACAATCAGTTTTTATTAACACAAAATGGCATTATTTAAATGCAATAAATCTAAAACAAAATTATATATATACAACCAAAAAGGGAGAGGGGAAATTTTAAAACTAAACATGATTAAAAAATAATTATGGGATTAAGTATGTTACTAATTAATTTAAAATAGGCATAGTGACCCGTTCAGTGGTCAACTTGATACAAAAACAACTAATTTTGACTCAATCAAAGCACATGATTTGGCAGAAGCCATGTGCAACTGGCTCATACTTTTTTTTGTTAATTTCCGATTTTCAGAACCTTAGCGTTCCGTTTTTCGCTTGCGTCTTGCATCGTCTCCTCCGTTCGTCTGTGCGAGAGCATAAGTCGGAGATGAGAAGGTAAAATTTTTAATTTTTTTATTGATCTTTTACGCTATTATTTACTTATCATTTCTTTTGTTTCCTAAGCACAACATTTTAATCTTTATTAGTTAATAAAAATGTCAGTTAAAGTTAGGGCTTTGCCCCTTTATTTCGATATAAAACTTGTTTAGTTATTTCCTAATTGAGCAATATAGATTTGGAGGACAAACTTAAAAAGTACATTGTTTCCTAAAATGTGGGTTCATGAGTGTCGGTGAAAATGTTACATTTGGTAGTTCGAAGATGTAGTTATTGTAGAATGACTAATTCTGTGTATGTTTTTTTTTCCTAATTTGATTACTAATTGTTAATATGAGTTGTTTTTTTTTAATTATTTATTTATGTAATATTATCTGATATTGTAATAAAATTTGAAGCATTCAAACTTAGTTTAATGCAATAACTTCTTCATAATTGCAAGTTATATTAATTTTTTTATACAATATGTAAACTTATTGGTTTTGTTTGCTTTTTATTTAACTAATTGTTTAAGTACTCGTGTATTATTAGTTTCAGTTCTCCTTGCTTAAATTATTTTCAAATATATGTTTATGTAACTACAAAAAAATAAAGAATGAAGTTAATTAATTTTTCTTAATTATCCAAAATTTTGGTTTGATGTACCACTAAAATAGTAGCATTATAGACAGTTGTGGAGTTAAAACAATTTACTTTAAGGATGATTTAGCGTTCAAATTCGTTCGATTTAGACATTCAAGTTAGTTATTTGTTATTATTTTCAATATATTGCAATTTTAGGTATTCAAAATGAGTGGGCGGCCACCCTCTTTTTTGCTATTATATGGAGAGTTGTCTCTAGATGCTAAATTTTTACTTACATATACTATTGGTAAAAGCTGTCACTTGCAAGTATTTGTTTGGTAAGTTGTGAATTAGACACAGTATTTGTTTGGTGATTCGTACTATAATTTTTATGCTCTTTAACTAATGATATGTTAGTATGATGTTGATTGACTCAAAACCCATTTGAACTGAATTTTTATTTGAGGCACATGCGTGAGAATTTTAAGAAAGCTGCATGACATATGGGAGTTTCATATGTCAATTTGATCTGCCAAAAAATGTACACATCATGTAATATGGATAATCCAGACATGTTTAATCAATGTATGCTTTATAACATCAACATAAAGACCAAAATTCATCAATGGTTGATAGAGAGGGATGTGCTAAAGTAGGCTTTGACACATGATGGTGGGTTTTGCATATAAGGCTTTCAATGGGATTTTAAAGAGAGCATGTGTGCTATTAGTTCAAGTGTTGGTTACATCCATTTACTATAATATTGTCGGAATGTTTATTCAATGAGTAGAAATAATAAATATTGAAGAACAACAAAATAACAGCATGTTTGTCCCACGTGTTTAGGCCAAACTGCAAAATCTTGAGATTGAGGCTAAAAGGCTACCATAACCTACAAGGACTAATATGCATGAATTTCAACAATTGGATATGTCCTCAAGATTCTACCAGGTCGATATAGCTGCTGGTAGGAAAAGTTTGTGTATTTGTGGTCGAAGTATTATTTATCATATGCATTGTTCGTATGTTATTAACTATACAGTTGAATAACTTTATAACATGTGTTAGAATACTACACGTTGAATAACTTTAGACTCACATACTCTGAAGAATTTCATGCAATACCAAATAGAAAACCTTGGATTTCTCATGATTCTTCATATGGTCTTTAACTTCTGAGCCCTCCAAACTTCATAAAGAGATCAAGTAGACAAAAAAAAAAGGCGATATAGGAACACAATGGATAAAATAAGGTAGCAAAATGGGAGAGTTTGTAATGTTTACCATATTATTCATCATAACAAAACAACATGCAGTACTAATTAAATACATTTTTTTAAGTACTTTTACTCATTTATCACATTGTACTAATCATTTCATCATGTTTTGTATAATAAATCTTATGGCATAAGACCAATCTAAAGGATGAAGGTGCTGACCTAAACACACACCACTGTAGCAGGTCGACATAAAGTCTGCTTCATTGGTAGATGTTCACCCCAACATTACTTCACTATGAGGTACCCACAGATCTATATAGCTAGATAAGGTATAGTACATATTTATTACTATCAATTTATTTGTCTATGTAAATGTTATAACCAAATTTCTCCCTACAAACTTGTAGGGCACTGTATTGGAAGTTGCATCACATTGCTCATGGTGCATGAGTGACATATTAATTCTCCTAAATTTATGAGAGCCTTGAGGATGTTAGGATTGGATTGTGTCAGCTAGCTTCGATATACTAGGATGGATCATAACTTACTAATAACTTTGGTCGAGCATTGGTCACCATAAACTAACTCTTTCTCCTTCCCTATTGGTGAGATGATCATTATTTTACATGATGTTGCTCTTATTTTGGATTTTGAAATTGATGACTTAGCTTTGGTTGGCCACAAAGTGGTAGCTAATGCTAGATGTTGGCTTAGCTGGCCTGGGTGTTGTGACAACTTGCTTGGTAGCCACCCTATACGGGATGTTGTCTACTATGATCCTTTCAACCATCGTGTCAATTCTAAATTCTAGATGGGACAAGCACATGCCTAGACATATTTGCCATTAAGATGGCTTCGTTGCTCCTTCTATAGGGATTCTTATATAGACTTGTTAGACTAAGTTAGATTTTTGGAGACATGTGCAAGCATATGTTATATTCATACTAAGATGTTATCTTTTATCTGATATATAAGGATGCGAGATTCACTTGAGGTACTTGTCATTATTGGAGGATTTGGGGTTATTCAGCATATATTCTTTAGGGCGGTAATTCTAGCACACACATATATAGAGAACTTTAAGAGGCCACTGAGCCTAAGATGACTAACATTGCAAGCTGTATATATTTGTTGGAGATTTGGTTTTGAGAGCATATTCATATTTGTTGACCTACTCTTCATGTACCATAACATGTTAATTTGGATGGACTGGTGTTGGTTACAATTATAAAATAGGCATATCCATTAAAAAAATTCACTCATTCTGTAAATAGATCATTGACGTGCCCATAGTTTCTGCTTAATTTAAACTGCAGGCGGAACCAGAAATACCTTAGCTAGCTTCCTACAACTAACATCAACAGTTATAGACATGAATTAGATGGGCTAATTGATATTCATGTATATAACTCATTCATTATTTTTTGATAAGTTAGTACTTTTATTTGTTGACTAATAATATAATTTGCTCTTATTTATAAGGTGACTTAGGAGCCATACACAACAGATGTTAGTGCATAAGTTGATGGTATATGCTTAATTGGGCAAGATATATGGTTGGCTCATGAACCTTTGATTAGATGGACGTGGGTGGAGTGTCATTTTTCCAATATAGTGATCCAATAGTTTGGAAATATTCCCTCCATTGATGTACACCAGATGGAGCCCAATTTTGTCGGAGTAGATTGTATGGTGTATCATTGTGACTATATAGGCATATGGGAGGACAGACGGTCATATATTGCTGAAGGGGTGCCTGTAGGACCTGATAGGGAACGATTTATTCTATAGTACTTACATTCGTTTAGGTCATGGGCCACACTCTACATGTTAAAGCCACTGACCACATGCTACCCTTAAGCACCCTTAAAGCACTACATCTTATTTTAAATCCTAAATATAAATACTTATTTTGATTGATATTTACCTTTATACTTTTAGTGTGCATACTTTCTCAAGACAGAGAGCATTGTACAACCCTTTGTCAGCAGAGATAACAACAAAAACATTTCAAAGGTTGTTAATAAAATAACATAGTTAAGTTTGGAGATGCATAGACATATGCATATTACATATGAGCGTTGTGTATAACTTGCAGATATTGAGTACACATCAGTCAGTGATACTCCACCAATCATAAATGTCCATAGCTTGGTTGAAGGCCATCCTCTTATGAAGATCAGAGATTATTGCCACTACATGAAAACGTCATTTTCGGCTGCCATTTCCACTGGAAAATGAAGAAAATTCCTCGATAATTTACATTTTTGACGAATTTTTTATTATAATTCATGCGTCAAAAATAAACACCATCGAAAAAAAAGATCTGCATCAACAATAAAAAATCCACTATAAATTGCTTATAATTTTTTTTTTAAATTATTATTAGCCCTAGCGGGAACTATTACCCTAAACAAATTAAATGAATAATTATTAAAACTATCACCCTAAACATAATAATAATTATTAAAAAAATATAATAAATATTTTATAAAAAATTTAAAATTTTATTGGAAATCCGCAATAAATTCCTTCGAAAATTCCAACAAAAAACATGCCGACAAATCCTCTCGAAAAATTATCCATAAATCTAACAAAAAATCAGCCAAAAATATTCTGTCGAAAATTTGTCAGAATTTATGAAGAATTTATTTCTGCTAGAAAATTCATCGGAAATGAGTGTTTTTCCTGTAGTGCGCAAGATTACTTTAGTCAGCCGACACAACAGATTATGTTATACTTTAGTCAGCGTACATACTTCTATACAAGTATGGTATATACAAGATTATGTTCCATCCACTATACCACTGACAATTATAAAGTCAGTCATAGGTGTAGTAGAGAGGTATGAGTTATGGGACAAACCACTTCGAGCGCCACACCACTATACGCCTGGCATTGTTGCTCTACCACATAGAATAAGGATGAAATGTCAAATTGTACTATTTTGTGTTTGTTAGATTGTATTATGTTGTGTTTGTTAGCTTTGACTCAGTTTGTTATATTGTATTATATTGTGTTTGTTAGGATTAATTGTGTTCATTAGATTGTACTATGTTGTGCTTGTTAACATTGAATCTATATGATGTGTTTGTTAGCATTGACTCTATATGCTATGTTTGTTCACTTACTAGTACTGAAATATTAGGCAAAAGAAAAATTTTGAACATAGCGAATTTCGAACACAGATAAGACATTGCTTCATTGATAGATGAACATGCAGTACTTCATGGAGGGAACAACAACATTGCTCTACCATAGAGAACATATATAGCATAACAAACATAAGATAACTAGGAACATATTGCATCATTATAGTTAGGATTAAACATAAACTAAATATTACAAGCATGAATATACTACATAAAAGGCATTAGCATGTACTATTCTCCCTTATTCAACCTGTGCAAATGTGTCTGAATTTGATTTTTAGTTGGATAACATTTAAAATGAAACTAAAACTCGCCTTGTAGGTCCATACAATCTTATACGTCAAAATAATTTCTTGCACCTCCATTTAAAATCTCCTTCAACTGATTTCTATAAAAATTATAAAATAAATTCTTTCTCTCTCGGCAACTAAGGATAATAAAGAATAACGAGGTCCATGTCGTCCACTGCCCTTTTAAAATCTTATGAAGAAGCATTGTCGCGTCGTAGATTATGATAATACATTTGAAGGGATGAAGACCCATGAAATGACAATCATGTGCATAAAAAATCCTTTTTAAATATATCCAACCTTAACTTTTTAAGGAATTTACTATCTTGTAAGCATCAATCCTCATAGCTTCTTCATGCAAATTCAAAAGTAAACAATTGAGATCTTCAGCTCAATTATGCATGCAAATCTAAAATTTTCATTTTCCCTCGCCTTCATCTCAAAAGGGTTATCCAAAAATCTTCTCATATATTGTTGAAATTGTCTATAATCAATCCATATGATTGGGCTTCTGACTCTTATGGGCATATTCATCATTATAGGTCCATCATGTACATTCAACATGCCTCTAATGCAGTTCTTTATAAGGTCTTCCCCATGACCCTCAAAGGGAAAGCTTGTACATAATTTTATTCTCTTATAAGTAGAACTATTTAAACTTTTGCTAATTTAACCAAATATTTTATTGCATAATTTATTTTCAATAAAAAAAATCATCAATGACTCTTCCCACCTTTTTGGGATTCACTAAAATGCGGGAGAGACCTATAGGTAATATTTTCAAAGGTTTTATTCTAAAGCTTGCAAAATCTTAGAAGTAAATTTGGAATTACTAAGAGGTGTGTTCCTTGAAGATATTTTCCCTAGACCTTTCTAGTCTTCACTAGTGCTAGAGACTATCCATTCCTACGTTAATCTTATTCTTCGAGTATAGTCTTAAATAACTACCGATGAGACTATCAATACTTATCAAAATAATTCGAACAATCATCTAGCAAACGTAAGAATTAAGTTCAAAAAATTAATCGATATCCTTAACAAAAAAAAGGTGAAAGAAGTTAAGAGATAAAAGACTCCCTTCTCCCCAAATTCGGCCAAGATCACCTAAATATACCTTTAAGTACATACAGGGTGTGATGCCTCAAGATCTATTTTAAAAAAATTGCCTCCTTTATCTTTTAATTGCATACTAGAGCCACTAATAATATTTATATATAAAAACAATAATGTGGAAATAACCTATCATTTATATCAAAACATATACATCATGTATGATAACATAGTCCACTATCAATCATATAGTCTATTTTAATTACCCATGACTACAAAAGAATGCAACAGGCTAATAATTGAAAAGAAAAATACCTATTCTAATAAATCTGAATCAATTCTTACTCTATTGGATCCTTGCCCTTAAAACATGTAAACCATATAATGAGCTAACAACCCAAAAAGTCACCAAAACCTACAATCGCATTCAATATATATATATATATATTATCGAACATGGACGATTATAAAAAGAAATACGATTAGATTTTGTCATCTTATAAGGGTAGCACATTTTTTTGTATGGTATGATTCGGAAGCATCACTAAAATCAGAAAACTTTATATTCTAAAAAGTGTTTCTTACCAGAGAAAATAACACCTTTGATTTCTTCCATAGTGATGGGGGCAGTGAGAGAGGAGATTAAATGTGGGGGAATCATGTTTCCGACCGGAATGGCTTGAGTTTCTGTTGCTTGAGTGCTGGTGTTGAAGAGCTTTGCAAAATGGCCAATGAAGGCTTGAGAAATGCCTTGGTGAGTGTTGAATGATTCCAGGTCATTTGAAATTTCTTTGATTTGGCCATAGTTTTTTGTGACATTGATCTTGGAATATAAGAACTTTAAATCATCTTCTCCGTGAGTAAGCCATCTAACCTTGGCACGTTGGGCCATCCAACTGGAAAGAGTAGAATGGTAGTAATTGAGCTTGTAATTGATTTCTTTCAGACTCTCATTAAGATTGCTGCTTAGAGGTTCAATCTGAAGTTGGCTGAGCACTTGGTGTTGAGTTTGAGAGAGGGCATCAATCTCTGATTGGATATTGTTGAAGTTTGCCCAGGGTTTGAATTTGAGCTTGTTCTGAAGAGTCTTTAGCTTGTAAATGAAAGAGCAAAGATGGCTACTTTCATTGGGCTGAGAGAAAGTGTCTAGTAAACAATCCCAAAAATCAGGAAATTTAGTACAATAATTCTTAAACATAAATCTCTGTCCCCTAACAACCTCCTCAGAGTTCAAAAGAAAAAGCGGCGAATGATCCGAGCAATTAGGATCCCCTACTTTATAAAAAGAATTAGGAAATAGATTAAGCCAGCTGTCATTAATCAACACACGGTCAAGTTTGATGTGGATGGGATTGTTTTGTTGTTGATTGAACCAAGTGTAAAAATGCCCTACAGATGACAAATCTTGTAAACCAGCATTGAATATCATGTTATTAAAATCACCAAGAGAGCTGTTTGTGAGAGGAGTTCCCCCAGCTTTTTCGCTAGGCAGATGACAACAATTAAAGTCACCAATGACAGTCCACGGATGCCTCATGTCATTAGCAATAATAAGTAAATCCTTCCAAAGAGATTGCCTTTCAATGTAAGAGTTACTAGCATACACAACATAGACAGCAATGGTGTGCTGAGCATTCAACTTAATAAAACCATGGATCAGTTGACTGGAAATACGCTGAGGAGTAAAGTTCAAAATTCCTTTCTTCCATTTCACCCAAATGCGACCAGGTGAAGAATGTTGGAAATTATCACAGGAGCTTTCCATAGGGAAAATTTTGTGTTGGTTGTGAAACCAAGGGTTGGTGAGGTTGGCATTGGAAATTTTTGCTTCAAGAATGAAGAGAAGATCGATATTGTGGCTTTTTACAAGGTTTCTACAACATAGAACTTTCTCTGGGCTGTTGAAACCACGTATGTTCCATGCCGCAAGCCTAGGAGGTTTTACTGACATTTAGAGTTGGATGGTTTTTTGACATTTTTGCCACGGGTAGATTTTTGGTTTTGTTTGGCATTGTGCTGTGTAGATTGGGTTTTGCTTGAGTTGGAGCTAGAAGAGGGTTGCTCCGAAGAGGGAGGGATGACAGGCTGGTGGTTTCTTGGTGAGGTATGTGGAGGACTGTTGTGATTTGGGTTAGAGAGATATGTAGAGGAGGTTAGGGGCTGGTTCTCATGAGGGTGATTCTCAGTAATTGTGGGGTCAACCAAAACATCAAATTTGTTCTTAGTGTTGATAGTGGGCTGGTTTTCAATAGTGGATATGTTTGGGTCTTGAAGAGAGACGAGATCTCCAGTTGGCGAGTTAAGGTTTGGGATTGAAGTCCCTGTTTGAGGGTTATGAAGTGTAGGTTCTGGTTGTGGTAAAATATCAGGTTTTGGTAAAAGAGCTGGCTTTGGGATTGTTAGTCGAGGAGGCGGTGTAGCACGAGGCTTGCGGCTGGTGCTTCTTCCTCTAGGCTTAGGAACAGTTGGTGGTCGGATGATTGGGTCCTTGGGACACAAGGTCGGGGGATGCATAATGGAGTCGCATTGTGAGCAGTGCTCTGGCTTCCAATCATATTGCACACGCAGGGGGAATGATTTTCCATCAACAGAATAGAATATTTCATCAGGGAGAGGAGAGGAGCTGGTGATTTGCACACAAATTCTAGCGAACGTTAGTCTAGTTTTTGCGGCAGTGAGAGCATCGACTGCAAGGGGAATACCTACACAGCTTGCGAGTTTAGAAATACCTTCCGGGGTCCAGAGAGAAAGTGGTAGGTTCATGATTTTGATCCACAGTGGAATCGACGGGAACTCTTCCCTCTTTGGAATGAAATCAGGATACCACTTTTGGAGGATGAAGGGTTTTCCGAAGAAGAACCATGGTCCTCCGGTCCACGCCAGCTCATTGTCTTCTAAGGCAGTAAACTTCAGGAGAAAGAACCCGTCGTCCATGGTGAGGAGGGAGAAAGCTCCTTTGAGGTTCCACGCTTTTTTGATTGTCGCCAGCAACGCTTCGTAGAATGGTCGCTTACCAATGGAGTACCCGACGAGAGACAGCGACCATTCTGAAGCTCCAGCAGTAAACTGTTCAGTTGTAAAACTGGCTGTAAAATTTTGGGCTGGGACGAAGGAGAGCGAATGCGAAAAGGTCGTAGAAACTTGAGGAGTCGTGGCTAGGAGATTTTTCCAATCCAGTGGAGAAGATGATGAATGGAGCGTTGGAGTGGTGGAGACAAGTGGCGGAAGCCGGCCATGGGGGATGAGCCCCGGTAGGGCGGTGGCGGGAGGAACAACGCTAGGGTACACTCAAAACCCTAGCAGAGCAAAATATCTCGCGGTCTAGCTTTCTAACATAAAAGACTCGGTAGAGGACGTTAATGTGGACTTTCTAAACGGGAGTTCTTCTAGATGAGATGAATTATATTCTTTTTTAAGAATATTAGGGACAAAGCTTAATTCATTAACTATAAAGAATAAATATAATCAAAAGGAGGACAAAAAAAAATTACAACTATGACTTCGTTTGTTATGGTTTTCTTATTTCTTTTTAAAACAGTTTTTTGATATAAAAATTTTAAATTTTGCATTAGAAATTTATTTTAAAAAACAGTAAAAAAATCGTCCCAAACAAAAAGGTAAGATCCAATGACCAAATGAACTTAGAATATACAAAATGAAAGCACTAAGATATCATGAAGCCATCAAAGAACGCAGGTTCCCTTGTTGGCATGGAGATCATTCAAGAGGAGGCTTGGCTAGTTGTCAACCAACATTCATCATTGTCCACACTATCTCGTATCATAATTCTCACAATGAATATAAGAGTAAGTTGCCTAGACCAGAGGAGATTCTGCAAAAAGTTTCAACCAATAAGACCCAAAAGGCCATCACCCCAGGGCATGATCATAAGTTAACCAGTTCAGAGAAGAGAAGCAAACTAGAAAAGACACCATTGTCAAGAGATAAGATGTTTAATTTCGCCGAACTTCTTCTATTTTGAAGCTTTAAGAAGAATAATCTTCTTAATATCACTACACACATTTGAATTGAACCTTCATTTTCTTTTGTATAAATGATAAGGATAATAATTCAAAATTAAATGAAAGATAAATTATAATTGATACGTCATTAAAATTCATCTTGATCATGTACAAATCTCGAGGAGTATTCAAGTTGGAAACTTTTAAAATTAAATTTTGGATCATCTGAATTCCAATTTGAGTAAATTTATAGTCAAGCTGAACATCTCAAAGAGACAAACCTTACGACACCAAAATCGGTCCACATTTGGATGTTTCAAAGCATTATTTGGATAAAAAATTGATATCCAAATATGGCATGCTTATAGTCAAATTGAGTGACTCGGCGAGACGAATCCAACGAGCTCAAGATAGCTGAATCCTGACACCGTTAAGGCACTTAAATATTTGAAAAACTATATATGATCGGGGGAATTAATACGTGCCATCCGATGGAGTACTCTGAACCTGCCCTGGATGTTCTCTATATTTACGAGGTGTGTCACTCATGAAAATCTATAAATAGACCCTTACTTTCTACCTGAAATGACATTTGGCTGGAGATTGGAGAGAGCTCTGATGTTTTAAGAACTTTAGATCCATCACTGGCGAACCTTCACCCTGCCGCCCACCGTCGTTGGATTTTTGCCTGGCCATCAACAGACCAACACCTGGCCGTTGGCTGCCATCGAAATTTCACTCAACCACCGACTGTCACCAAACTTCAGCCCAACATTCGTAGAACCTCCGCCTAGCTACCAACCGCCAACGTCAAACAACCACTTGGTCGTCGACCACCTTCAGACTACCACCCGGCCGTCGGACTTTGGCCATAACCTATAAGGATTAATATGCTTGAATTTCAATTGTTTGATATGTCCTCAAGATTTAGCCGGGTTAATATAACTAATGGTAGGAATAAATAGTGTATTTGTGGCCAAAGTATTATCTACCATATGCCTTGTTTATATGTTATTAGCACAACTTCAGTTAGGTAGAGCTACCTAGAACATGTGTTAGAATACTACACGTTGAATAACTTTAGGCTAGAATACTCTGAAGAATTTTGTGCAATACCATATAAGAACACTTGGATTTCTCAAGATCCTTCATATGGTCTCCAACTTTTGAACCCTCCAAACTTCACAAGGAGATCATGTAGACAAAAAATAAGGCAATATTGGAACACAATGGATAAACTATGGCAGTAAAATGGGAGAGTTTGTAATATTTGTCATATTATTAATCGTAACAAAACAACTTGTCCTACTAGCTAAGTAACATTTTTTTTACATTACTTTTACTCATTTATCACATTGTACTAACCATTTCATCAAATTTTATATACTGGATCTTATGGAATAAGACCAATCTAAAGGATGAAGGCACTGACCTAAGCACACACCAACGAAGCAGGTTGACATAAAGTTTGCTTCGTTGGTAGATGTTCACCACAACATTACTTCACTATGAGGTACCCACATAGCAATACACCTAGATGAGGTATGCTTCGTATTTATTAATATCAATTTATTTATCTTTGTAAATGTTATAACCAAATTTTCTCCCTATAAACTTGAAGGGCATTGTACAGGAGGTTGTATCACATTGTTTATGGTGCACAATTAACCTATTAATTGTACTAGATATACTAGAGCCTTGAGGATGTTAGTGTTGGATAGTGTCAGCAGCTCTAATATACTAGGATGGATCATAACTTACTGACAGCTTTGGTCGAGCACTGGACACCACTAACTCCTTACACTTCCTTGTTGGTGAGATGATCATTATTTTATAGGATGTTGCTTTTATTTTTTGTATTCAAATTGATGGCCTAGCGTTGATTGGCCACAATGTGGTAGGTGTTGGTAGATGTTGGTTTAGCTGGCCTGACTGTTATGACGACTTGCTTGGTAGCCACCCTATACAGGATGTTGCCTACTACAATATTTTTAACCATCGTGTCAATTCTAAATTCAAGATGGGACCAGCACATGCCCAGACTTATTTACCATAGAGATGGCTTCGTTGTTCCTTCTATAAGGATTATTATATAGACTAGCTTGATTGAGTTAGATTTTTGGAGACAAGTGCAAGCATATGTTCTGTTCCAACTAAGATGTTATCCTTTATATGATACATAAGGATGAGAGATTCACTTAAGGTACTTACCATTGCTGGAGGATTTGGGGTTGTTCAATATATATTCTTTAGGGGGCAGTTCTAGTACACATATATAGAGAACTTTTAAAGGCCACCAAGCCTAAGAGGGATAACATTGCAAGCTATATACATTTGTTGGAGATTTGGTGTTGAGAGCGTATTCATATTTTTTGGCCTACTTTTCATGTTCCACAGCATGTTAGTTTGGATGGATTGAGTGTTGGTTACAGGTATGAAGTAGGCAAAACCATTAGAAAAATTCACTCATTCTGTAAATAAATAATTGAAGTGCATATAATTTCTACGTAATTCAAACTACAGGTGGAACCACGAATAACATTTAAAATGAAACTAAAACTCGCGTTGTAGGTCCATCCAATCTTCTACATGAAAATAATTTCTTGCACCTCCATTTAAAATCTCATTCAACTGATTTTTATAAAAACATAGAATGTATTCTTCCTCTCTCAACAACCAAGGATTATAAAGAATAACATGGTCCATGTTGTCCACTGACCTTTCAAAATCTTGTGAAGAAGTACTATCGCGTCGTAGATGATGATAACACATTTGAAGGTGTGAATACCTACGAAATGACGAT